GATGCTGACGATCATTATGATGATGTTGCTGATGGTCAGGATGATAACGCCGATAATGTTAATAATGGTGGCGATGCTGTTTATGGTGCCTGTGATGCAGGAGTGGGCGGATGATGGAGATGATGACGATGATGATGACGATAACGATGACGACGATCACGACGACGACGACGATAATGATGACGATGGCGATGATGAGGATGATTATGTTGATAATTCAGGTGACGATATTGACGATGATGACGACGATGGCGATGATGACGATGGTGATGACGATGTTGCTGCTGATGGTGGTGATGGTGACGATTGTGATGATGGTGATGGTCATGGTGATGATGACGATGCCGCTGACGATGACGCCGGATATGATGGTGATGAGGATGGCGATGATGACGATGACGATTATCCTAGCTAGAACTTGAGCGCGCGCGAAGCGCGCGCGATGGTTCTAGTATATATATATATATATATGTATGTGCGTGTGTGTGTGAGTGTGCACGTGCGTGTGCGTGTGCGTGTGCGTGTGCTGTGTGCTGTGTGTGTTGTGTGTTGCGTGTGTTATGTGTTCTGTGTCCGTGTGTGCTGTGTGTTGTTTGTGTTGTTTGTGCTGTGTGTGTTGTGTGTTGTGTGTGTGTGTTGTTTGTGTGTTGTTTGTGTGTTGTGTGTTGTGTGTGTTGTGTGGTATGTGTGGTATGTGTGTTGTGTGTTGTGTGTGTGGGTGTGTGGTGTGATTGTGTGTGTGAATGTGTGGGTTTGTGTGTGGGTGTGTGGGTGTGTGGGTGCGTGGGTGTGTGGGTGTGTGGGTGTGTGTGTGTGTGTGGGTGTGTGGGTGTGTGGGTGTGTGGGTGTGGGAGGTCCGTGGGGTGTGGGGGTGTGTACGGGGGGGTTGTGCTGTGTGGGGGGGTGTGGGTGGGGGAGTGGTGTGCGTGTGCTGTGCCTGTTGCCTGTGCCTGTGCCTGTCGCCTGTGGCTGTGCCTGTGCGTGTTGTGTGTGTTTGGTGTGGCGTGTGTGCGTGTGTGCGTGTGTGTGTGTGTGTGCGTGTGTGCGTTAGCCGTGCGTGTGTGCCGGAATGCGTGCGTGTGTGTGTGTGTGTGTGTGTGTGTGTGTGTGGGGGGGTGTCTGTGTGTGTGTGTCTGTGTGTGTCTGTGTGTGTGTCTTTGTGTGTGTGTCTGTGTGGGTGTGTCTGTGTGTGTGTCTGTGTGTGTGTCTGTGTGTGTGTCTGTGTGTGTCTTTGTGTGTGTGTCTCTGTGTCTGTGTCTCTGTGTCTGTGTGTCTCTGTGTCTGTGTGTCTGTGTGTCTCTGTGTCTGTGTCTGTGTCTGTCTGTGTCTGAGTGTGTCTGTGGTGTGTGTGTCTGTGGTGTGTGTATCGTTGTGTGTGTCTGTGGTGTGTGTGTGTCTGTGGTGTGTGTGTGTGTCTGTGGTGTGTGTGTGTGTCTGTGGTGTGTCTCTGTGGTGTGTCTCTGTGGTGTGTCTCTGTGGTGTGTCTCTGTGTGTGTCTCTGTGTGTGTCTCTGTGTGTGTCTCTGTGTGTGTCTCTGTGTGTGTCTCTGTGTGTGTCTCTGTGTGTGTCTCTGTGTGTGTCTCTGTGTGTGTCTCTGTGTGTGTCTCTGTGTGTGTCTCTGTGTGTGTATCTGTGTGTGTCTCTGTGTGTGTCTCTGTGTGTCTCTGTGTGTGTCTCTGTGTGTGTCTCTGTGTGTGTCTCTGTGTGTGTGTCTGTGTGTGTCTCTGTGTGTGTCTCTGTGTGTGTCTCTGTGTGTGTCTCTGTGTGTGTCTCTGTGTGTGTCTCTGTGTGTGTCTCTGTGTGTGTCTCTGTGTGTGTCTCTGTGTTTGTCTCTGTGTGTGTCTCTGTGTGTGTCTCTGTGTGTGTCTCTGTGTGTGTCTCTGTGTGTGTCTCTGTGTGTGTCTCTGTGTGTGTCTCTGGGTGTGTCTCTGGGTGTGTCTCTGGGTGTGTCTCTGGGTGTGTCTCTGGGTGTGTCTCTGTGTGTCTCTGTGTGTGTCTCTGTGTGTGTCTCTGTGTGTGTCTCTGTGTGTGACTCTGTGTGTGTCTCTGTGTGTGTCTCTGTGTGTGTCTCTGTGTGTGTCTCTGTGTGTGTCTCTGTGTGTGTCTCTGTGTGTGTCTCTGTGTGTGTCTCTGTGTGTGTCTCTGTGTGTGTCTCTGTGTGTGTCTCTGTGTGTGTCCCTCTGTGTGTGTCTCTTGTGTGTCTCGTGTGTGTACCCCTCTGTGTTGTGTCTCTGTGTGTGTCCTCTGTGTGTGTCCTCTGTGTGTGTCCCTCTGGTGTGTGTCTCTGTTGTGTGTCTCTGTGTGGTGTCTCTGATGTGTGTCTCTGTGTGTGTCTCTGTGGGTGTGTCTCTGTGTGTGTCTCTTGTGTGTCTCTGTGTGTTTCTCTGTGTGATGTCTCTGTGATGTGTCTCTGTGTGTGTCTCTGTGTGTCCTCTGGGGGTGTGTCCCCTATGTGTGTGTCTCTGTGTAGCTGTCCTCTGTGTGTTTCTCTGTGTGTGTCTCTGTGTGTGTCTCTGTGCGTGTCTCTGTGCGTGTCTCTGTGCGTGTCTCTGTGCGTGTCTCTGTGCGTGTCTCTGTGCGGGTCTCTGTGCGGGTCTCTGTGCGGGTCTCTGTGCGCGTCTCTGTGCGCGTCTCTGTGCGCGTCTCTGTGCGCGTCTCTGTGCGCGTCTCTGTGCGCGTCTCTGTGCGCGTCTCTGTGCGCGTCTCTGTGCGCGTCTCTGTGCGCGCCTCTGTGCGCGCCTCTGTGCGCGCCTCTGTGCGCGCCTCTGTGCGCGCCTCTGTGCGCGCCTCTGTGCGCGCCTCTGTGCGCGCCTGTGTGCGCGCCTGTGTGCGCGCCTGTGTGCGCGCCTGTGTGCGCGCCTGTGTGCGCGCCTGTGTGCGCGCCTGTGTGCGCGCCTGTGTGCGCGCCTGTGTGCGCGCCTGTGTGCGCGCCTGTGTGCGCGCCTGTGTGCGCGCCTGTGTGCGCGCCTCTGTGCGCGCCTCTGTGCGCGCCTCTGTGCGCGCCTCTGTGCGCGCCTCTGTGCGCGCCTCTGTGCGCGCCTCTGTGCGCGCCTCTGTGCGCGCCTCTGTGCGCGCCTCTGTGCGCGCCTCTGTGCGCGCCTCTGTGCGCGCCTCTGTGCGCGCCTCTGTGCGCGCCTCTGTGCGCGCCACTGTGCGCGCCTCTGTGCGCGCCTCTGTGCGCGCCTCTGTGCGCGCCTCTGTGCGCGCCTCTGTGCGCGC